TCGGCTGAACTATGGGATAAGGTGGCATCGTTCTAATCCCATATGGGAGCAGCCAGTCACTTACTGACTAACACTGCAAAACATGATTGTTGAAGTATTAATTTGAATTTCAATTCAGGTTAGTTTTTTTTTGTGCACAACGCAGATTTTGGACATAACCCTAACAAATTTAAATTGAAAAAAAAAAAGCCTCTTTTTTTTTTCTTTCAGTGGTCCATCATTTCTATGTACAACTAGACCCAACAAAATCAGGAGACTTGCTGTTACAGGAATAACTTCTTCCTTCACCAATGAGAAAGCAGGACATTTTCTGTCAGGGTGACAAGGCTGACAACATAACCCTTTTTGATTTGCTTGGAGAATCACTGTAGACCAGTTAATCTTTTGTGATCAGTCCCTTCTACCATTTTTTCATATAAATATGACTGCAACATAGCCACGTGACACCTCCACTATCTCACCATTTGTTTTCAAATAATTTCATTAAAAAGGCAACAACAATATAAACGTGGTTCAGATGGATGTACTACAAAGCAAGTTAAAACATATCCAGCTCTCTTTGCATCATCTCACTTAATAAAAACTCAGTAGGAGGTAATTGTTAGAAAGAAGTTTTTTGATAGCTTCTTTTTAACATTGATTCCAATATATGCTAATAATAGAGTTGATACACTCCTCATTAGATATAAGCACACAGTGTGAAGGGTTAACTCAGAGGCAGGAGAGGTAAATGGCTAAACACTTACACAGTTTCAAATAGGGAGAGGCTGCTTTGACATTTTGTGAGCAGTGTTGCCAAAGTAAGCAACAGCTTTGCACATGCACAATTCATTTGCAGTTTGTAAGCATAGGGGTGAATATCTCCTGCTCCGACATACGATAGGGGCGACTGCTGCATGAGAACTAGCTGCCACCTGCCATGTCTGGTAACAACTCGGAGTAGGGAGGAGTTTTCTCACACAGGACAAGATCCCTGATTGGAAACCCAAGACCACTGACATGCAAAAGGTTACAAGGAGAACACAGTGGAATCTGCTCACCCATAGCCAATCACAAATATTTCCCGATGTCATGTGTCTAATATATGCTTTGAGTTATGAACTGTAATTCACTTCTCTGTGTGCAAACTGCCTGACATACAGAAGTCCACAGCTTTGCAACCCAACTATTTAAATGCATAATAATAAAATAGATTATCTCCTGAACTCCTGAAAAAGAACACCACATAAAGTGTATTATGACAAATAGGGATGGGAATTGAGAAGTCTGCTTGTCTAACAGTCCCACTTATCTGTTAGTGTGTCAGAGGAGGAAAATAGTGGTGCAAACAATATGCTTCTTAGTATTGGTGGTAACTCTCAAAGGTGGGTATTAAGAACCGATAAGAGTATCGGCAAGGAATTAAATCAATACGTAATATTTGTAACGGAATGAGAGTCAGAAAATTATTATCAGTTCCCATCCCTGATGACAACACTCATCAACTTTCTTAAACTGGTCTCTAGCCCAGGCTTTCTGTTTCAGGATTTGTGCATCTTCAAATCTAAGGCAGCGTTTGATACCTAATTTCCCTCTTCTGCACATAACAGGTTAATGCAGTATTGTCTACTCCAATCAGAGACCTTACAGTGTGACCAGGTCATTCAAAATCTCTTAAGTAGATAATCTAGATAGCACAGCTATGTACTATGAATAAAAGAGTTACTGAAATTTTTTTCATTCATTGTTAAAGTGAAAATGGTAAATGGTCTGTATTGGCTCATTGGTCTGTAATGGTCCTAAGGACCCCAAAGCGCTTTACAAAACCAGTCATCTACCCATTCACACACACAGGTGATGGCAAGCTACATTGTAGCCACAGCCACCCTGGGGCGCACTGACAGAGGCGAGGCTGCCAAACACTGGCACCACCGGGCCCTCTGACCACCACCAGTAGGCAACAGGTGAAGTGTCTTGCCCAAGGACACAACGACCGAGACCGTCCAAGCCGGGGCTCGAACCGGCAACCTTCCGATTACAAGGCGAACACTCAACTCTTGAGCCACACTGTGGTGCTTACATGCGTGTTAACTCTGAATATTACCTGGTTCAGGGCAGGTTATGTGCTCAACAAATTGTATGTTACCATAGGGATCTAGTCAGGAGAAAAGAACCACTTTCATGAGGCATTCGAAGTCTGATTTTAGGCCAAACATACCTCAGTAACCCATTAATCTCCCTTTGTAGTACACCCCTCAGTTCAATGACTTAGATTAGAGGTGAGGCACAGCAGACAGCTCAAGGCCTGTGCCTCGCAGCTTTGTGGAGTTTTGTCTGCAGAGGGTCCTAGTACTGTGGAAAACGTCACGCCTCATTCCTGTACCAATGACTCCACATCCTGGAAACCCCCAAGATTACAAGCCTGTTGCACTGACTTCTCACGTCATGAAGATGCTGGAAAGACTCATCCTTGACCAGCTCTGACCTATTTTCAGGCTACATCAGGATCACCTTCAGTTCGCTGCAGGTTGATGCGTCTCTTGTGTCCTGGATTGTTGATTACCTCACAGGAGGACCACAAGATTACAATATCACCGTACGTTCTCTATCATATTGAGACTATCTCTCCACTCCGTTACATATTCCATATGTAATGAGGAGACAGTGCAATTGAAGCCAGAGTTAATTTACCAACTTGTGCATATATACACAGCACGCCTCCATTGTGGTCATGAGAGGCGACCATGATCAGTGGTCACCTCTCATGACCATGATCAATGGACATGACATAAGAATTTACATATTATTGATCAAGGAACTGACCTCCCAGCCCATTGTTCATTCAGTGGGCTGGTTTCAGTCATTATGCAAATGTATTGTTTATAAGATTGTGGAAACCTGCAGTCAGCTGAGACTGAAGAAGTCACTTGGACGAGTGACGAAACATTTCTCCCACTGAAAATGCTACGTCCATAGGAACAGAATCAACTTTTGGAGAATTACTTACCTGGATGATTGAGCATGCATCAAGACGACATTTAACTCATTCACTGCCAGCCATTGGCAGTGAATGAGTTAAACCCATTGACTCATTCACTGCAATTGACGGCTATAGACGTCAATGGCAGTGAATGAGTTAACAATATTTCATAATAAACTTTATTGTATTTTATTACAAAAGCAAGAACTTAAAATTGCATTACCTCATCATCTAAAACCTGAGACTTGGTGATGTACAGGATTCCTATATAGTATCTGCATTTTTACAGACACATCACTGTACATTACTATCACAACCACAACACTCTCTCTCTCATTTTCTTCTCTCATTCCAACTAAATGAACATTTCTACAGGTAACAATCACAACCACTTCAACTAAATAAGATTTTCTTGTTTGTTTTTTTCAGTCGACATTTTCAGGGAACATGATATGGTATTAGCTTCGGGCAGCAAAGAAATATGTCAGGCATCCTTTGTTACGCTAACATGTTAAAACATGGTAAAATGTGTGTGACAGCTCTACGATAAGAGCGAGCTTGTTTCAAACTCCAGGCCAAATGCACACCCCATATTTAAGTGAAGTACAAGAAAAACAAACGCAGCAATCACTATTTGTGTAGGCACTGCTGGAAAAAGACATACTGAGATGTATTTATTTGTATTGATCACTGTGTAGAAATGTGGTTAAATGATTGAAACACTGGAAACTGATCTGCTCACTGTAACTCAGCCAACAGTTTTGTCAAAACATCAGTTTTAATGAGGAACAGAAATAATAGTTTTAACACACTCCTCCTCATATTTCTGCCTCTTATTCCAAAAACATGAATATGATAGTGGTAAATATCACAACCACATTAACGAAATACGGTAAAATGCTCATGACAGTTGTCCCAACTTCTAACAGCCATCTAAAACTTTTTGTAGGACCAATGCCCAACATGTAATAAATAAATATATAATTTCCTTTATTTGATTTCAAACCCCAAAATTTACTGTCATTACCTCAGCCTTTTTTCTGCCATAATACCAATACAAGTTTCCTTTTTCTATTTACTAAATAAGACAAACATTAACCCGAGTGACCAGCTGGAAAGAAAAAAAATAACTACTGGTAATGTTTTTAATTACATTTAATAATTTTAACTGAAAGATAGACTCAACAGGATAATGTAGTAGCAGCAGCACCTTTGAAGAAGATGATATTTTAACATGTTCTCCTAAAAGACGTGGAAAACTTCATTCTGATCACAAAAACAAAGCAAACAAACAAACTGTATTTATTTATTCAGTTATATTGTGCTAAAATGAAAACACTACATTATTTGATGCCACAGTGTGCATGGTAAGAATGTATATACAATTTTTTTTCTAATACAAGTGTAAGCACAGCAAGTTATTGAAAGTTAGACTTCATGCCTGGTTGTTGACTGTGTGTGAACATGTCCAAACCCATGCTGGATTTCAGCAGATGGAGCAATATGCAAATTACAAGAAATCAAAATATCAGGTGTCATGGTTTTGCATCTGTTTTTTCCAGAGAAAATCTATTTTGTTGTCCAACCCATTCCTCTCAGCCACAGCCTATAATAGCTGTTCTATATTTTTGGGGGTGGGATTTCAAACTTGTGTAAGACAGTGTGAATATAAGATATATAAGTAAGTAAATAACCATCTCTCACACTTTCATGTAAATCAGTTTAGAAGGTCACATTTCTGATATGAATGTCATTGATTTAAAAATGTTTCTCCTTCTGGGTGCCTCCTTCAGACTTTGTGGCTCGTATGCAGACATGCATGCTGGGTTTCCATCAGAGGCCTGCAAAGATTTCACTGGAGGTGTAAACCAGACTTACAAACTGAAGGAGATGAACTCAGCTGGCCATGGTGATCTTTGGCTCACATTAAACAGAGCAACTAGTGTGCCAATCACTGATTTGTTGTTGGACTTCCTACGAAGAGGTAAAAAACAGACAACCCCCCCCAATAAAAATCAATAACAATAGATTAAAAAAACAAACCTTGTTCTGTCTTTTTCAGGGTCCTTCGGCTGACACTGGATTGGTGACGCGGCATGCATATTCCATCACAGGTGTCACTGAGGTAAACCATGAACCTAGAAATTTGCATTCAGCATAGGGAAAAGAGTGAAAACAAGAGCTAAGAAAACTTAATTGCAAAAATTGTGATAGTATCAATGAATGTGATAATGTGATACCATTACTGAAGCATTTCCAATACCTGATGTCTTCACTTCATTATTTCATCTGAAGGTGGAATTAAATGACTCCAAAGTACGACTGGTGCGAGTCATGAACCCATGGGGCAAACGGGAGTGGAATGGAAAATGGAGCGACAAGTACTTGACTTAATTAAACAACATAAAACGTCCAAATACTGCTGACAATGACACAATTTGTACTAGCGTTGCACCTACACAACTGACAACTGACATCCACAGAGAACAATAGTGGTGGATGATCAGAGGATGCTTTCTATTATAAAGAATAACAACTCAAGAACTTCCAGCCAAATGAAAAAAATGACAAACATTGTCACATATTAAAGGAGAGTGTTCAGCACAGTGGAAAACATTTATCGACCTCAAGAAAGAAATGCTGCACTAGACTTTGCCATATATTTTTGTATATTAAATATATCTGTTTTGCTGTATTAAAGTCTGTCATTAACTTATTTGTTTTGTGTTCTCAGGTCAGATTTGTGGGACAAAGTAAGTCCAGAAGTAAAAAAAAAAGTGTTTCGACCGTGACGACGGAGAGTTCTGGTAAATTCTAAATTTTGCACACTGATTACTCTCAATAGTTAAAAAAAGCTTTTAAGAACTCAAAAACAAAAAATCAAAATCATATCGTTTTGATGCAATACCAAAGAGTATACGTCTTATTGGTTGATATTTAATCTTTATTTCCTTTTTTTTAAAAAATCTCTATCTGCTTATCCGTCTGTCAGGATGCAAATGGAGGACTTCTGTTCCTATTTTGCTAAAGTATCCATCTGCTGTGAGACCCCTAACTTTCTTGATGGAGACTTAAAATGTCAGTGGAATTGCATGATTTACGATGGGAGCTGGGTAGCAGGGACATCTGCAGGTGGCAATGTGAAACACTGTAAGACAAGTTCATTCCTATCTAAACTTTAACTATCACTAAAATAATAATATAGTTATTACATGTTTCTTTTATCTGTGCAAATTTTTGAAATAAATTTCTAAAATGTAACTAACAAGATGAATGTTTCCTCATTCTCTGTAGCCACCTTTGCAACAAACCCTCAGTATCGCATCCGAGTGACTGTTATAGACAAGAAGGAGCCAGGAGACAAAAACATCGTGCTCTCCCTGATGCAGAAACCTCATCAGGGAAATCGCAAAGAGATAAGCCTCCACCGAACTAGACTTACCATCTATAAGGTATTCATTCTCAATGTGCTTCCTTTAATTTAAATAACTGTTAAATATTGCAACCGAATACTGAAGGACAAGAAACTAAATTATTAAAACAATTGTATCATCCTGTAATTAAGACAAAAGTACTTACCTAATTGAGCAGCTGAGTTAGTAAGACAATAATGACATTGATAATTTAAAAAAATGGTCTTCGCTGATTTCGCATTCATTATTTAAAGTCACTATAGAAATTGGTTCGTCCGAAACAGTTTAATGAAGTTATTCTTACCATTTTCCAATTAACAGATTCCGCCAGGGGTAAGTACAAACAATAACAAATATATGAAACTTGACTGTGTAAAGTACACCAGTAAATTCAGCATTTTAATAACTTTAATAACAATGTACACTGAGACGCCACCATAGACATTCCTTCATATTTCTCCCAGACCCCACAAGGACGCCTGCAACAGGATTTCTTTCAGAGGAACAGGCCTGTGAAGGCAGAAAAGACTTACAGCACTCGGCAAGATCTCATTGAACTCCACAGTCTGGAACCTGGAGAGTATGTGATCATCCCATCCACCAAAGAACCCAACATCACTGCAGATTTCACTCTCACTGTCTACACCAAGACTGACGAATAAGATTATGTAAAGAATCCTTCACATAATGAAGGATTAAAATGATTAATTCAGGATAATAAACTACATGAATTATTTACTTAACAAAAGACACCATAGGGTAATTTCCTATTTGTTAGCCAGACATGAGCTGTGTTATCTCTGCTGGCTGTGAAATACGGTTGGTTGGGTTAAAAATGGTCACATGATTGTGTGAAATGTATAGTTTTCAGGGTTTTTATCGGTTTTCAGCGTTATTTTGTTATTGTTTTTATTGTTTACTCGGTTTTCCTGGGTCTTTTCACGTGTGTTATGAATAAACCTTTTTTTCGGTACCGGTACTAGTTTTATTTTGTTGTATTTATCCGCGACACTTTAAAGGCCGGTCCATGAAAATATTGTCGGGCATAAACCGGTCCGTGGCGCAAAAAAGGTTGGGGACCGCTGTGCTAGAGGGTGTAGAGGGCCATAGCCCTGTCCCCCAGGGCATGAAGCAGGCATGGAGGAGATCCAGGCTCCAGACATCCAGAAGCCCCAGAGTGCGAGAGCTCAAGGAGGCCCACCGGAGGGGCATCCGTGTCATCCTCCTGGGAAGAGCTGAGAAGAGCCCCAGATGAGGGGTCACCCAGCAGCCACGGAGCAGAAGCCAGAGGGGGCTGCACTGGCGTGCCCGCCGGCTCTGCTGGCAGCCAGCTGTGCCGGAGTGAACCGTAGGGCCCCCTACGTGCTGGAAGAGGCCTGACCGAGCAACAGGCGCCAGGCCCCGCCAAGTAGCCACCGGGAGTGAGCTGGTACATACCTGAGCGCCCAGCCCCGAACACCAAGAACCACCAACGCGCCGACCCCTGAGGGCATCAGCCACCGGCAGGGAGTGTGGTGAGGGGAGATAGGCCTCCATACTTCAGGGGGCCTGGGAGTTCCCAGAGAGGTGGAGTCTAAGACCCAACCTGACATATAGACAAAGACAAACAGGCACACACAGACGCAAACATGCATTCCCACCCTCATGCACACATATACAAATACTCAGCACTCACCCAACGTAAGGATAGACACAAATTGACATTGCACACACAATCACACTCCCCAAACATACTCTATACCCCGGGTCCAGGTACCCTCGCCCCCAGAGGCAGAAACGGCACCTAGACCCATGCTCTCCTGCATTCCTGAATACCTGCATACGAGTGCTGTTACTGTTGCCTTGCTATCAACTTGAAGTAGCCTGGCCATTCAAGCACCTCACTGAATACTTGGTCTTTGTGGACCATCTTGTCCAAAGATTTGGTTGTGCGGGGAAATCCAAGTAGAACAGCAGTTTCGGAAATACTCAGAACAGCCTCTCTGGTACCAACATCCATAACACATTCAGAGTCACTTAAGTCACAAGTAAACAGAGAAAATTTATTTTACTGCATAGACATTAGCCATAACCAATGTTCCCTCTAATTTTTCACATGTCTGAGCGAACACACAAACTCCCTGAGCAATCCCTTTGACCACTGTGAGCGACATCAGACGTGTGCACTGTGGTCACGCCGGCATCTTATCCATCCAAGTTACATGGTTTATTAAAATAATCAAATTGCAGCGTTTACATTTATGTTAGACTACTTTTAATTAACTGCTTTAGCCCACTTACAATAAAAAATTATAAATAAATCTTGTTCATGAGCTGTGTATTGTGTTAACACTATTGGAAGTAAAAATAACTTGAACTCCAATTTCGAAAACACAACTTTTTTTTTATAAAGCTCTGACTTGTATTATAATAATAATAATAATACTATTACTACTACTACTACTAATAATAATAATAATGGATTGCATTTATATAGCGCTTTTCAAGAACCTCAAAGCGTTATACAATTCCACTATTCATTCACTCTCACATTCACACACTGGTGGAGGCAAGCTACAGTTGTAGCCACAGCTGCCCTGGGGCGCACTGACAGAGGCGAGGCTGCCATATCGCGCCATCGGCCCCTCTGGCCATCACCAGTAGGCAGTAGGTGAAGTGTCTTGCCCAAGGACACAACGACCGAGACTGTCCGAGCCGGGGCTCGAACCGGCAACCATGCAATCGTATGAGTATGAGTCTGTGGTCTGGGAGAGAGTCTGTAACTCTCTGTCTGCAAAATACAGTATATAATGACCAATTTTGGGCAATTAATTATATAGTTACTTCTTCAAAAAAGTAACTCAGTTTGGCAAACAACAAAGTTTTTTGCAGCTATTTTTTTTTTTTAACGCAGCCAATGCGCTTTTAAATAAACATTTCAAACTATTTACAGAACAATCAGCTGTTCTGCATCAAATCTGATGCTACACAAATTATTTGTGCCACTCCAAAAAACATTTCTGTCCACTATGAGATAAAAGAGAAAAAAAGCCTGATACCTGCAGGCCTGACAACAGGAGATGTATCACTCCTGTAACACCTGTAACATTCAGCAGTCGCCTCATTGTTCTGACACACACAACAAAATTATTGACTACACTGCACACTGACTACACAAGATTTGCGCTAAACGTCTCAAATCTCTCACATCTCAAAACACCGCCGTCACTCCTAAAACTTCCCCCCGTTTCTTAACAACAAGATGCCACGTTGCCATATAATTTTTTGATTGGTCGACATGGTACTTTTTTGGACCAATAGGAAAGGTGGGGGGTGGAGTTTGTTTTTGCTCACAGGCTTTCGAGCGTTTTCCTTATAAAACGCCGTTTTTACCGTTTCTTCCCGCAGTAAACATAAACAGTATTCAGGAAGAAAACCAAACATTGCATATTTTTATCACAACTCTGGTTTTACGTGGCCTATCAACACAATTTAAAAACTGGTATAAAGTCAACACTTTTTCTGTCAATTGTTCCGTCTGTCCTGCTCACATCTCCAATGCTTGTACACGTTGTCATTAACGTGGCTTCACTCCACATCAGCCACGCCGCTTTGCTAGCTAAAACACCGGTGTCGGCACCAGAGATGGGCAGTAACGCGTTACTGTAATCCGATTACTTTTTTCAAGTAACGAGTAAAGTAAGGGATTAGTATTGCAAAAACGGTAATTAGATTACCGTTACTTTCCCGTAGGAACGCTGCGTTACTGCGTTACTAAAACCGTTATTTTTTTTGCGAGAATGTCTCATGACAGTGACGGAAGCGAGTGTGATGTTCGTGACAAAAGCTGTGTGCAGATCAACAGTGGATCATATATCCAGTGCGGGAGAGATTATGAGCGTGCAGCGTTTAAAGCGTGGAAGTACTGACCTTACTTTGAGTTTGATTCCATAAAAAGTGACAAAAACATTAGTTTCCGTTGCGCGTGGGAAGAAAACTTCTTTTTACAGCGAAAAAAAACCCCCTAAACTTCCAAGCAAGCACCAAGTGCGCTACCACGTAATGGGAAACTCACAGAGAAACTCGCGGATTCTTCCACTGACCGCTGCGGCACACCTGCACCAGGGTAAACCTCCGCCTACGCCACTCCTGCTTTACAGGTGAAAATAGAGCAAAAGGACCGCCAGTCTTTGACTTTATTTATTTTCTGCTGTGTTTTACTTGCATCTATTTGAAAGAGTGAGTGTAAACACACAAAAAAATTTATGTGCTGGAATGTGCAGAAAATAGGTTTAAATGTTAAACAAATTTCTTCCAGTCAGAGAATGTTGCATATAATTTAATTTTTGCTTGATGCATAAAGTTAAAAGATTAAAACTAATAAAACAAGTTTTAAAAAGGGACTTTTCCATTTGATTACATTTTGTATGATGGATTATGCAGAAAAAGTAGAATTGGGCTGAAAGATCTATCGCTTTATTACCTATTCAGGTTGTAAATCGTGCTTTTAAAAAGTAACTAAGTAACTAAGTAATTAATTACTTTTGAAAATAAGTAATCAGTAAAGTAACTGGATTACTTTTTTGGGGAAGTAATCAGTAATTAGTTACTGATTACTTTTTTCAAGTAACTTGACCAACACTGGTCAGCACATAAGGACGCTGTCATAGCCTGTCAATGACGTTCGCTGCGTATATACGTATCGGCTGAACTATGGGATAAGGTGGCATCGTTCTAATCCCATATGGGAGCAGCCAGTCACTTACTGACTAACACTGCAAAACATGATTGTTGAAGTATTAATTTGAATTTCAATTCAGGTTAGTTTTTTTTTGTGCACAACGCAGATTTTGGACATAACCCTAACAAATTTAAATTGAAAAAAAAAAAGCCTCTTTTTTTTCTTTCAGTGGTCCATCATTTCTATGTACAACTAGACCCAACAAAATCAGGAGACTTGCTGTTACAGGAATAACGTCTTCCTTCACCAATGAGAAAGCAGGACATTTTCTGTCAGGGTGACAAGGCTGACAACATAACCCTTTTTGATTTGCTTGGAGAATCACCGTAGACCAGTTAATCTTTTGTGATCAGTCCCTTCTACCATTTTTTCATATAAATATGACTGCAACATAGACATTCACCATGTGACACCTCCACTGTCTCACCATTTGTTTTCAAATAATTTCATTAAAAAGGCAACAACAATATAAACGTGGTTCAGATGGATGTACTACAAAGCAAGTTAAAACATATCCAGCTCTCTTTGCATCATCTCACTTAATAAAAACTCAGTAGGAGGTAATTGTTAGAAAGAAGTTTTTTGATAGCTTCTTTTTTAACATTGATTCCAATATATGCTAATAATAGAGTTGATACACTCCTCATTAGATATAAGCACACAGTGTGAAGGGTTAACTCAGAGGCAGGAGAGGTAAATGGCTAAACACTTACACAGTTTCAAATAGGGAGAGGCTGCTTTGACATTTTGTGAGCAGTGTTGCCAAGGGAAGCAACAGCTTTGCACATGCACAATTCATTTGCAGTTTGTACGCATAGGGGTGAATATCTCCTGCTCCGACATAAGGTAGGGGCGACTGCTGCATGAGGACTAGCTGCCACCTGCCAAGTTTTCTCACACAGGACAAGATCCCTGATTGGAAACCCAAGACCACTGACATGCAAAAGGTCACAAGGAGAACACAGTGGAATCTGCTCACCCATAGCCAATCACAAACATTTCCCGATGTCATGTGTCTAATATATGCTTTGAGCTATAACCTGTAATTCACTTCTCTGTGTGCAAACTGCCTGACATACAGAAGTCCACAGCTTTGCAACCCAACTATTTAAATGCATAATAATAAAATAGATTATCTCCTGAACTCCTGAAAAAGAACACCACATAAAGTGTATTATGACAAATAGGGATGGGAATTGAGAAGTCTGCTTGTCTAACAGTCCCACTTATCTGTTAGTGTGTCAGAGGAGGAAAATACCGGTGCAGACAATATGCTTCTTAGTATTGGTGGTAACTCTCAAAGGCGGGTATTAAGAACCGATAAGAGTATCGGCAAGGAATTAAATCAATACGTAATATTTGTAACGGAATGAGAGTCAGAAAATTATTATCAGTTCCCATCCCTGATGACAACACTCATCAACTTTCTTAAACTGGTCTCTAGCCCAGGCTTTCTGTTTCAGGATTTGTGCATCTTCAAATCTAAGGCAGCGTTTGATACCTAATTTCCCTCTTCTGCACATAACAGGTTAATGCAGTATTGTCTACTCCAATCAGAGACCTTACAGTGTGACCAGGTCATTCAAAATCTCTTAAGTAGATAATCTAGATAGCACCGCTATGTACTATGAATAAAAGAGTTACTGAAATTTTTTTCATTCATTGTTAAAGTGAAAATGGTAAATGGTCTGTATTTATATAGCGCTTTACTAGTCCCTAAGGACCCCAAAGCGCTTTACAAAACCAGTCATCTACCCATTCACACACACAGGTGATGGCAAGCTACATTGTAGCCACAGCCACCCTGGGGCGCACTGACAGAGGCGAGGCTGCCAAACACTGGCACCACCGGGCCCTCTGACCACCACCAGTAGGCAACGGGTGAAGTGTCTTGCCCAAGGACACAACGACCGAGACCGTCCAAGCCGGGGCTCGAACCGGCAACCTTCCGATTACAAGGCAAACACCCAACTCTTGAGCCACACTGTGGTGCTTACATGCGTGTTAACTCTGAATATTACCTGGTTCAGGGCAGGTTATGTGCTAAACAAATTGTATGTTACCATAGGGATCTAGTCAGGAGAAAAGAACCACTTTCATGAGGCATTCGAAGTCTGATTTTAGGCCAAACATACCTCAGTAACCCATTAATCTCCCTTTGTAGTACACCCCTCAGTTCAATGACTTAGATTAGCAGAGGTGAGGCACAGCAGACAGCTCAACCCATATGGAAAAGAAATAGTAAAAACTTATATGTGATTACTCATGAAAGTGGCCACTTTCTCATTACTTTCATATATTGTTTTAGTAAGTATCCAAAACATACAAGTTTCATTATATAATTTTTCAAGGGATCTTACATCTGTTTTCAGTCTTACATGCTTTTCATACAAGTTTCACACAAGACAGATACAAACTTTATAAGATTTATATATATCTTTTCCATATGGGAAGGCCTGTGCCTCGCAGCTTTGTGGAGTTTTGTCTGCAGAGGGTCCTAGTGCTGTGGAAAACGTCACGCCTCATTCCTGTACCAATGACTCCACATCCTGGAGACCCCCAAGATTGCAAGCCTGTTGCACTGACTTCTCACGTCATGAAGATGCTGGAAAGACTCATCCTTGACCAGCTCTGACCTATTTTCAGGCTACATCAGGATCACCTTCAGTTCGCTGCAGGTTGATGCGTCTCTTGTGTCCTGGATTGTTGATTACCTCACAGGAGGACCACAAGATTACAATATCACCGTACGTTCTCTATCATATTGAGACTATCTCTCCACTCCGTTACATATTCCATATGTAATGAGGAGACAGTGCAATTGAAGCCAGAGTTAATTTACCAACTTGTGCATATATACACAGCACGCCTCCATTGTGGTCATGAGAGGCGACCATGATCAGTGGTCACCTCTCATGACCATGATCAATGGACATGACATAAGAATTTACATATTATTGATCAAGGAACTGACCTCCCAGCCCATTGTTCATTCAGTGGGCTGGTTTCAGTCATTATGCAAATGTACTGTTTATAAGATTGTGGAAACCTGCAGTCAGCTGAGACTGAAGAAGTCACTTGGACGAGTGACGAAACATTTCTCCCACTGAAAATGCTACGTCCATAGGAACAGAATCAACTTTTGGAGAATTACTTACCTGGATGATTGAGCATGCATCAAGACGACATTTAACTCATTCACTGCCAGCCATTGGCAGTGAATGAGTTAAACTCATTGACTCATTCACTGCAATTGACGGCTATAGACGTCAATGGCAGTGAATGAGTTAACAATATTTCATAATAAACTTTATTGTATTTTATTACAAAAGCAAGAACTTAAAATTGCATTACCTCATCATCTAAAACCTGAGACTTGGTGATGTACAGGATTCCTATACAGTATCTGCATTTTTACAGACACATCACTGTACATTACTATCACAACCACAACACTCTCTCTCTCATTTTCTTCTCTCATTCCAACTAAATGAACATTTCTACAGGTAACAATCACAACCACTTCAACTAAATAAGATTTTCTTGTTTGTTTTTTTCAGTCGACATTTTCAGGGAACATGATATGGTATTAGCTTCGGGCAGCAAAGAAATATGTCAGGCATCCTTTGTTACGCTAACATGTTAAAACATGGTAAAATGTGTGTGACAGCTCTACGATAAGAGCGAGCTTGTTTCAAACTCCAGGCCAAATGCACACCCCATATTTAAGTGAAGTACAAGAAAAACAAACGCAGCAATCACTATTTGTGTAGGCACTGCTGGAAAAAGACATACTGAGATGTATTTATTTGTATTGATCACTGTGTAGAAATGTGGTTAAATGATTGAAACACTGGAAACTGATCTGCTCACTGTAACTCAGCCAACAGTTTTGTCAAAACATCAGTTTTAATGAGGAACAGAAATAATAGTTTTAACACACTCCTCCTCATATTTCTGCCTCTTATTCCAAAAACATGAATATGATAGTGGTAAATATCACAACCACATTAACGAAATACGGTAAAATGCTCATGACAGTTGTCCCAACTTCTAACAGCCATCTAAAACTTTTTGTAGGACCAATGCCCAACATGTAATAAATAAATATATAATTTCCTTTATTTGATTTCAAACCCCAAAATTTACTGTCATTACCTCAGCCTTTTTTCTGCCATAATACCAATACAAGTTTCCTTTTTCTATTTACTAAATAAGACAAACATTAACCCGAGTGACCAGCTGGAAAGAAAAAAAAATAACTACTGGTAATGTTTGTTGGTAATGTTACATTTAATAATTTTAACTGAAAGATAGACTCAACAGGATAATGTAGTAGCAGCAGCACCTTTGAAGAAGATGATATTTTAACATGTTCTCCTAAAAGACGTGGAAAACTTCATTCTGATCACAAAAACAAAGCAAACAAACAAACTGTATTTATTTATTCAGTTATATTGTGCTAAAATGAAAACACTACATTATTTGATGCCACAGTGTGCATGGTAAGAATGTATATACAATTTTTTTTCTAATACAAGTGTAAGCACAGCAAATTATTGAAAGTTAGACTTCATGCCTGGTTGTCACTGTGTGTGAACATGTCCAAACCTATGCTGGATTTCAGCAGATGGAGCAATATGCAAATTACAAGAAATCAAATTATCAGGTGTCATGGTTTTGCACCTGTTTTTTCCAGAGAAAATCTATTTTGTTGTCCAACCCATTCTTCTCAGCCACAGCCTATAATAGCTGTTCTACATTTTTGGGGGTGGGATTTCAAACTTGCGTAAGACAGTGTGAATATAAGATGCTGCACATATCACATTTGGCAATTCCAAGGTGCTTCTCTTGCAAGGAAGAATCAGTTGCTTGCCACCGTGCACAGGTAATAATCTCTGTTCTTTCAAGAAAAACCTTTAAATTAGAGTTTTGTGTTTCTGAATTTTTTTTCCTTGCACCAGAATCTCTCTGAAGACTTCGTCATCATCATCATCATGGCTAAATCTGAAACTTGTCTCGTCAACTTGCGTTACCCAGATGGCAGCGAGGGAAGCCCCTCCAACCCTGCCAAGTTCAAAAATCAGGACTTCGCTCAGATAAAAGCTGACTGCCTCCAGAAACGAGAACTGTTTGTGGACAATGAGTTCCCACCAAACGGTCTTTCTTTGGGTGACCTGCCTGATATGAGTCCCTCACAGGAGAGTGAAGTGAAATGGCTTCGACCAGCAGTTAAATCATTTTAATTATATTTATTTTTCTTTCACTTTCAAATCTGATGGATTGTTAGTTAGCATTTCTGTACAGTAGGAAAAACAGATTCTTTTTAAATGCTTGTCAACATCACATTTTTCTCCACTGTCTTTTCAAGGATTTATTGAGAGAACGAGGAAAGAAGGATAAGCCTGCTTTCTGTACAGATGGTATGTCACGATTTGACTTTGGACAAGGCAACGTGGGTAAGCAAAACTTTCTTATTTATAGCTAATGACAATGACAACTATGTTCCACAGTTCAGTTCATTTTTATTTTAAACATGTACGTTCACGATCATTACATAATATCATTCCATTTTTTTGAAAGGGAGTAGGTAGACGTACACACTTATTTGGCCCTACCCCCTCAAATTTTACATCTCATTCATTTAATTTTCTTTTAGTCTTAAATTAAACAAACAAATGAAACCAAAACAAAACAAAACCAAAAAAAAATCACAATATAGTTTCTTTCATATAAATAAAGACAGAATGTGTAAATATGCAGATTCACAAATAATGAAACCAACAAACCAAAACATCCCTTCAATTACGGTCCTGTGTTAACCCCGTTTTCTTCATTCTTATATTTGTTTAAAATTAGTTTTGGTTTATGTTGTTACTTTCTTTTATTTCTGCTTTTAGACTGTTCCATAATTTAACTCCGTCAGCTTGAGAAAACTATTAGTTTCCTTCTTTTATCAGGTAACTGCTGGTTTGTGTCTGCAATATCTGCACTGACCTTTCAAACAAATCTGATGGAACAAGTTGTACCAATGGATCAGTCCTTTGTGGATTATGCAGGAATATTTCACTTCCGGGTAACAAAGGATTAATAAATGTGTCTAAAGAATACTTTTACAAAACAGAAACACAACACACTGGTTATTAATCCTTATTAAGCTGTTTTCTCTGTTTCAGTTCTGGTGGTTTGGAAAGTGGGTAGATGTTGTCATTGATGACAATCTGCCAACGAAAAACAAGCAGTTACTGTTTGCGTCCTCGAAATGTGGAAATGAGTTCTGGGCTCCTCTGCTGGAGAAGGCATATGCCAAGTACAGAACCACGTCACACACTTTCACGTAAATCAGTTCAGAAGGTTCAGAAAAGATTTACAAATATTTTTCTTTCTCTGTGTGTCTCCTTCAGACTTTGTGGTTCATATGCAAACCTGCGTGGTTGGTCATCATCAGATGCCTTCAAAGATTTCACTGGAGGTGTGAACCAGATTTACTATCCCACAGAGCCCAACGCACCGAGTTGCGATGAGCTTTGGCTGACACTAAGCAGAGCCACTAAGTGCAAATCACTGATTTGCTCTTCGACTAAAAAGGTGAGAAATAAATTTCTAGAGAAACAATAAAACAAAACAACAATAATTAAAATCAAAACAAAAGAACCCTCAATACATAATTTATCTTGCGTGTCTTTTCCAGGATGCAATGGCCAACAATGGATTGGTGATGAGGCATGCCTATTCTGTCACAGGCATCACTGAGGTAAATTCTTGAGTTTCAAAAGTATATTCCATCTAGGAAAGGGGCTTTTGGTACGAGGTTAATTGCAGCAAAATTGTAACAGTGTCAATTAAAGAATACTTGGTGATAATGATAAAGAAGAATTTCGTTTAAAAAAAAAAAACTTTATTATTTCATCTGAAGGTGGAATTAAACGCCTCTAAAGTACGACTGGTGCGAGTCATGAACCCATGGGGCAGACGGGAGTGGAACGGAAAATGGAGCGACAAGTACTTGACTTAATCAAACAACAAACAATGTCCATATACCACTGACAATGACACAATTTTTACTAGTGTTGCACCTACACATAATCAACTCATTATTATTATTATTATTTAATTAAAAGCTGTTTTTTTACAAAACCACAGCACTTGAATTTCTAAACATGAGATAAACAGTATAGTTGGAACAACATCAGTGGTCAATCAAAAAAAGAGTGAGAGAGAGAGAAAACACATATGCGTGCTGTGCAAAATGAAAATGGCCAGACATCCACAGAGAACAATAGTGGTGGATGACCACAGGATGCTTTCTGTTATAAAGAAGAACAACTTAAGAACTTCAAGACAAATGAAATTGTAAATTAGATATATCTGTTTTGCTGCATTAAAGTCTGTCATTAACTTATTTGTTTTGTGTTCTCAGGTCAGATTTGTGGGACAAAGTAAGTCCAGAAGTTAAAAAAAAGTGTTTCGACCGTGACGACGGAGAGTTCTGGTAAATTAGAAATTTTGCACACTGTTTACTCTCAATATTTTAAAAAAGCATTTTAAAAACTCAAAAACAAACAAAACAATCACACAATCATTTTGATGCATTACTAAAGAGTTTATGTCTTACTGCTTGATATTTAATGTTTATTTCCTATTTTATCTCTATCTGCTCATCTGGCTGTCAGGATGCAAATGGAGGACTTCTGTTCCTGTTTTGCTAAAGTATACATCTGCTGTGAGACCCCTAACTTTCTTGATGGAGACTTAAAATGTCAGTGGAATTGCATGATTTACGATGACAGCTGGGTAGCAGGGACATCTGCAGGTGGCAATGTGAAACACTGTAAGACAAGTTCATTCCTTTCTAAACTTTAACTATCACTAAAGGAATATTTTGGTTTTTACATTTTTCATTTACCTGTACAAACACAAAACCCACCATAAATTTCTAAAACCTGTAACTAACAAATAAACTGTTTCCTCTCTGTAGCCACCTTTGCAACAAACCCTCAGTATCGCATTCGAGTGACTGTTATAGACAAGAAGGAGCCAGGAGACAAAAACATCGTGCTCTCCCTGATGCAGAAACCTCATCAGGGAAATCGCATTGAGATACACCGCCACAAAACTACACTTACCATCTATAAGGTATTCATTCTGAATCCGCTTCCTTTAATTTAAATAATTGTTAAATACTGCAACTGACTACCAAAGGACAAGAAACTAAATCTTTAAAACAATTGTATCACCCTGTTATTAAAACACAAGCGCTTTTCCTAATTGAGCAGCTGAGTTAGTAAGACAATAACAATAAAAAAATGCCTTCACTGATTTCACATTCATTAAAGTTACTATGGAAAATGGTTCCTGCGAAACAGTTTAATGATATTATTCTTACCATTTTCCAATTAACAGATTCCACCAGGGGTAAGTGCAAACAATAACAAATATATGAAACTTTGACTGTGCACCGAAAGTAAATTCAGCATTTTAATAACAATGTATACTTAGACTCAGAAGAGTATTTCACTAAAGTTCCTTCATATTTCTCCCAGACCCCACAAGGACGCCTGCAACAGGATTTCTTTCAGAGGAACAGGCCTGTGAAGGCAGAAAAGACTTACAGCACTCGGCGAGATCTCACTGAACTCCACAGTCTGGAACCTGGAGAGTATGTGATCATCCCATCCACCAATGAACCCAACATCACTGCAGATTTCGCTCTCGCTGTCTACACCAAGACTGATGAATAAGATCATGTAAAGAATCCTTCACATAATGAAGGATTAATATGATTAACTCAGGATAATAAAATACATGAATTATTTACTTAACAAAAGACACCATAGGGTAATTTCCTATTTGTTAGCCAGACATCAGGTGTGTTATCTCTGCTGGCTGTGAAATATGGGCGGTGGGGTTCAAAATGGTCACACGAGTCATACTGTCTCATAAAATTTTTTATATGAGACATATAATTTTTTGCTGGGCATTTCTATTTATTTCACAGCCTGCACAGGCAAAAGCAGCCATGTAGTGCATTTTTACACAGATAACATAAATACTGATAAATAACATGACTTTATCCTAAAAGAAATAATAGGCTAAATGATTAAAATGTACAAAGATAATGCTACTGATAGTTGGCCAGGTTCATCAATTTCTATAAAACAGAATAATAATTATTTAAAAGAATAAGTTCTGTGGACACTGGGAGTTAGTTTGAAGAAGTGATGTGGTGATGCAGTGGATAAGGTTCCTGGTTTAATCACCTGATCTTCTGTGTGGACTTTGAATGTTCTCCCCTTCTGAGGACTCGGGCTTCTTCCCACAATCCAAAGACACGCATCTTCACTGGTGACTCTAAACTGGCTTTCACAAAGAATAAGAAAATAAAACAGCTCTGACTCTGTCTATTCTCATTTTCCCCTCTACTCGCAATAGAAAATATTATTTGCAACATTAAGTGATGTCATCCTCAGCATAAACCGTTACACACACTGTGCTGCCATAAGGAAAATATTTATAAGGTAAAAAGAAAAGTTGGAAAATTACACAAGCTTGTGTAGCTTATTAGTTTAGCTTAATATGTAACCCCAGATAATAGTATGTTTTGATGGCCAATTAGCAGCATTCTATAAAGGGCTGCCAGTCAGAGGTGGGTAGTAACGAGTTACATTTACTCCGTTACATTTACTTGAGTAAGTTTTTGGAAAAAAAAGTACTTTGAAAGTACCTTTTTTGCACGATACTTTTTACTTTTACTTGAGTACATTTGTGAAGAAGAAACGGTACTTTTACTCCGCTATATTTGCAAAATTTAACTCGTTACTTTTTTAAAAAATAATTAGTTTAACACATTAAATAACATGCCACCAGTGGAGTTTCCGGTAACTTTTTTACCAATCAGATGTGGCCATGCAGTCACATGACCAATTTGAAACACAAACACATCCTCCAACCACACACACCCTTATTTTGCTCCGTTGAGGTTTATTTCACACCTCAAACATTTAGTAAACAATTAAAAATGACAGGTAGTAATAAAATAAACTACTAACTCTTTTACACTATGTCCACACCTACACGGGTATTTTTGAAAACGCAGCTGTTTCGTCCACACGTAAACAGCGTTTTGAATCACCGAAAACGGAGATTTTTTAAAACTCCTTTTTTGCCTTTACGTGTGGACGAAAAATACAGAGTTTGTCACACAACGTCAAAGGTATGTGCCTTTTTTTCACGTCACACTGTGCACCACGTTATTGTTTACATGAGATGAATTGCAGAATGCCGGATAGAGACAAAATACTGTTACTGTTAATCTGACTATCTTCAGTTTTTACAGGCTTACATACACACGCAGTTACTGTCCCTCCATTTACAAAGGCAGAGGCGTCACGTTGTGAATATTTTATGTGTAGTTGTTTTTTTGCCTGTGTAATAATATTCAACATTGCTATCAATACATTTGTCAAAAAATGCCTCTCTGTGCAAAAGGGGTTCAAAAACATAAACAACTGTGGGATACAGTTTGTCTGTGATTTGAACCAGGGGAACAAATCACGGCAGGATCAGCCTGATATTATTTGTATCCCGCTGTAACTTTACTGTATAAAGAGCAAACATCTCCAACATGTCAGGAGTAGTTAGTCATTACAACAAGTGTTTGTGAACTAAAAATCAAGAATGTGGGATACTGTTTGTCCGGGATTTGAACAGCCCAGCGCGTGCTCCCGACGCAGGGAAAACCAATTCTGCTGACGAGACCTACCTTGGCACTTGTGCAGGTGAAGCCAAAGGGAAGACATGCTTCATCATATTTTATAGTCTTTGGCTTAGAATGAAGTTGGTTGGAAACATACTCAGCGATGCTTCATCTCCTGCTTTGCGTTTCTGTGGCCGCTTGTGCTAGCAGTGTCCAAGCGTTTTGGTTTTTTCCCCCCTTTTCATACCGTGCCTCCCCTGCAATGGCTCTGCGCCCCCCCCCCACACACACACTTTGGGAAGGTCTGAGCTAGCCCAACTGCAGTAACCCTACAAACTGCTGTTTAGTTTTCTGCCTAAATTTATGTCAGAAGTGATACCAGAGCTGTACGTTTTAATCTTTTCAGAAATCTCTCAGTCAGAACATGTTATATTATCTTTAGATGGAAACGAGCGAGCTAATGCCCTGCTACCTTCTAATTCTGTTATACTTCATAAATCCTGTTTTCATGGATGCCTGGATTTTAAACTTAATTGTTACACCGGGTAGAGCAGCCACAATGCTCATTTTATTAAAGATCAAAGAATTTAGACAGTTTTTTAATGTGATCTTTTTTGTCCATTTCCTTTCATAATTTTCATAATACAAAATGTTATCATTATTCAAGTTACCAGCAATGGCTAGCAAAAGTTCCATTCATAAACTATTAGGGTGCCATGGTCAGATAGGTATACCTGCTAATTAGTGCTTAGTAACTTTATAACATACTAGAACTAGGTTTTAGAGCCAGTTTAAGGGGTGCAGTTTGGGGGGGGGGGGTTTTCAGAGGGGGGGATTACTTGGGGAATCCCCAAAGTATTTAGACCAAAAAATGTAAACCATTTTCTTTATTTTTCCTTTTTTGTTTAATATTGTTGTGACACAAATGAGCAAACTGATTATTTGACAGTTAACCTTCCTACATTCTATTACTAAGAGGTTGGATGAAGTTAGGATCAGTCAATCAGTGATCTAACTTCCTCAACAGTGATCAATATCTGTGTTTGAGCAAATTATACATTAAAAAAATGCCCATGTTAAGTAAAACATATTGTGAAATAGGCATAATAGTGACTCAGCAGCATTAATGGTGAAAGCAAATAAATATGTTTAACTGTCAATTCTCTATATCTCCAACTTTCCTTTGCAATGATTATATAGCAATAAAAAATGATACCCTCTGAATTCTCTTTTGTACTTATTTCAGTATGTAATTAAGACTGACCAGGAGCAGTAGAAACTGTGAATCAGACCTTATTTTATTAGTCCATCACTGAATACACCAGAAAAATAAAAAGTGAATGAACACATCACCAGTTCAGAAGTCAAATCTGCAGTTTAGCAGCTGAGATAAAACGTACGATTTACACTCATTCATTTAGGACAGGATACAAGAGGCTCTCTAGAAAAAACCCCTCATATTCAACATTTTTATTTTTACAAAGATAAAACACAAATCTGCATTTCTTTGCCAGGGACTGTGAAATATTTGCACACTTTCAGTCTGTTCATTGTATGGTGGTTACAGGAAAAGGTTGGTAATGTACTATAATCATATTAATGTTCCATGAAAAGATTATAACCAACAATAAACTTACCCTACTAACAAGTACTGTCATCTTACTCAGTTTGAGCTTTACTGCTGTTCAGAAACATTATGAAGATCAAAAATCCACATTGCTGCAGTGGGAGGATGGTCTTTAAAATGAACCATAGGGATTACCATAGGGATCTAGTCAGGAGAAAAGAACCACTTTCATGAGGCATTCGAAGTCTGATTTTAGGCCAAACATACCTCAGTAACCCATTAATCTCCCTTTGTAGTACACCCCTCAGTTCAATGACTTAGATTAGAGGTGAGGCACAGCAGACAGCTCAAGGCCTGTGCCTCGCAGCTTTGTGGAGTTTTGTCTGCAGAGGTACTGTGGAAAACGTCACGCCTCATTCCTGTACCAATGACTCCACATCCTGGAAACCCCCAAGATTACAAGCCTGTTGCACTGACTTCTCACGTCATGAAGATGCTGGAAAGACTCATCCTTGACCAGCTCTGACCTATTTTCAGGCTACATCAGGATCACCTTCAGTTCGCTGCAGGTTGATGCGTCTCTTGTGTCCTGGATTGTTGATTACCTCACAGGAGGACCACAAGATTACAATATCACCGTACGTTCTCTATCATATTGAGACTATCTCTCCACTCCGTTACATATTCCATATGTAATGAGGAGACAGTGCAATTGAAGCCAGAGTTAATTTACCAACTTGTGCATATATACACAGCACGCCTCCATTGTGGTCATGAGAGGCGACCATGATCAGTGGTCACCTCTCATGACCATGATCAATGGACATGACATAAGAATTTACATATTATTGATCAAGGAACTGACCTCCCAGCCCATTGTTCATTCAGTGGGCTGGTTTCAGTCATTATGCAAATGTATTGTTTATAAGATTGTGGAAACCTGCAGTCAGCTGAGACTGAAGAAGTCACTTGGACGAGTGACGAAACATTTCTCCCACTGAAAATGCTACGTCCATAGGAACAGAATCAACTTTTGGAGAATTACTTACCTGGATGATTGAGCATGCATCAAGACGACATTTAACTCATTCACTGCCAGCCATTGGCAGTGAATGAGTTAAACCCATTGACTCATTCACTGCAATTGACGGCTATAGACGTCAATGGCAGTGAATGAGTTAACAATATTTCATAATAAACTTTATTGTATTTTATTACAAAAGCAAGAACTTAAAATTGCATTACCTCATCATCTAAAACCTGAGACTTGGTGATGTACAGGATTCCTATACAGTATCTGCATTTTTACAGACACATCACTGTACATTACTATCACAACCACAACACTCTCTCTCTCATTTTCTTCTCTCATTCCAACTAAATGAACATTTCTACAGGTAACAATCACAACCACTTCAACTAAATAAGATTTTCTTGTTTGTTTTTTTCAGTCGACATTTTCAGGGAACATGATATGGTATTAGCTTCGGGCAGCAAAGAAATATGTCAGGCATCCTTTGTTACGCTAACATGTTAAAACATGGTAAAATGTGTGTGACAGCTCTACGATAAGAGCGAGCTTGTTTCAAACTCCAGGCCAAATGCACACCCCATATTTAAGTGAAGTACAAGAAAAACAAACGCAGCAATCACTCTTTGTGTAGGCACTGCTGGAAAAAGACATACTGAGATGTATTTATTTGTATTGATCACTGTGTAGAAATGTGGTTAAATGATTGAAACACTGGAAACTGATCTGCTCACTGTAACTCAGCCAACAGTTTTGTCAAAACATCAGTTTTAATGAGGAACAGAAATAATAGTTTTAACACACTCCTCCTCATATTTCTGCCTCTTATTCCAAAAACATGAATATGATAGTGGTAAATATCACAACCACATTAACGAAATAAGGTAAAATGCTCATGACAGTTGTCCCAACTTCTAACAGCCATCTAAAACTTTTTGTAGGACCAATGCCCAACATGTAATAAATAAATATATAATTTCCTTTATTTGATTTCAAACCCCAAAATTTACTGTCATTACCTCAGCCTTTTTTCTGCCATAATACCAATACAAGTTTCCTTTTCTATTTACTAAATAAGACAAACATTAACCCGAGTGACCAGCTGGAAAGAAAAAAAAAAAACTACTGGTAATGTTTTTAATTACATTTAATAATTTTAACTGAAAGATAGACTCAACATGATAATGTAGTAGCAGCAGCACCTTTGAAGAAGATGATATTTTAACATGTTCTCCTAAAAGACGTGGAAAACTTCATTCTGATCACAAAAACAAAGCAAACAAACAAACTGTATTTATTTATTCAGTTATATTGTGCTAAAATGAAAACACTACATTATTTGATGCCACAGTGTGCATGGTAAGAATGTATATACAATTTTTTTTCTAATACAAGTGTAAGCACAGCAAATTATTGAAAGTTAGACTTCATGCCTGGTTGTTGACTGTGTGTGAACATGTCCAAACCCATGCTGGATTTCAGCAGATGGAGCAATATGCAAATTACAAGAAATCAAATTATCAGGTGTCATGGTTTTGCACCTGTTTTTTCCAGAGAAAATCTATTTTGTTGTCCAACCCATTCCTCTCAGCCACAGCCTATAATAGCTGTTCTACATTTTTGGGGGTGGGATTTCAAACTTGCGTAAGACAGTGTGAATATAAGATGCTGCACATATCACATTTGGCAATTCCAAGGTGCTTCTCTTGCAAGGAAGAATCAGTTGCTTGCCACCGTGCACAGGTAATAATCTCTGTTCTTTCAAGAAAAACCTTTAAATTAGAGTTTTGTGTTTCTGAATTTTTTTTCCTTGCACCAGAATCTCTCTGAAGACTTCGTCATCATCATCATCATGGCTAAATCTGAAACTTGTCTCGTCAACTTGCGTTACCCAGATGGCAGCGAGGGAAGCCCCTCCAACCCTGCCAAGTTCAAAAATCAGGACTTCGCTCAGATAAAAGCTGACTGCCTCCAGAAACGAGAACTGTTTGTGGACAATGAGTTCCCACCAAACGGTCTTTCTTTGGGTGACCTGCCTGATATGAGTCCCTCACAGGAGAGTGAAGTGAAATGGCTTCGACCAGCAGTTAAATCATTTTAATTATATTTATTTTTCTTTCACTTTCAAATCTGATGGATTGTTAGTTAGCATTTCTGTACAGTAGGAAAAACAGATTCTTTTTAAATGCTTGTCAACATCACATTTTTCTCCACTGTCTTTTCAAGGATTTATTGAGAGAACGAGGAAAGAAGGATAAGCCTGCTTTCTGTACAGATGGTATGTCACGATTTGACTTTGGACAAGGCAACGTGGGTAAGCAAAACTTTCTTATTTATAGCTAATGACAATGACAACTATGTTCCACAGTTCAGTTCATTTTTATTTTAAACATGTACGTTCACGATCATTACATAATATCATTCCATTTTTTTTGAAAGGGAGTAGGTAGACGTACACACTTATTTGGCCCTACCCCCTCAAATTTTACATCTCATTCATTTAATTTTCTTTTAGTCTTAAATTAAACAAACAAATGAAACCAAAACAAAACAAAACCAAAAAAAAATCACAATATAGTTTCTTTCATATAAATAAAGACAGAATGTGTAAATATGCAGATTCACAAATAATGAAACCAACAAACCAAAACATCCCTTCAATTACGGTCCTGTGTTAACCCCGTTTTCTTCATTCTTATATTTGTTTAAAATTTGTTTTGGTTTATGTTGTTACTTTCTTTTATTTCTGCTTTTAGACTGTTCCATAATTTAACTCCGTCAGCTTGAGAAAACTATTAGTTTCCTTCTTTTATCAGGTAACTGCTGGTTTGTGTCTGCAATATCTGCACTGACCTTTCAAACAAATCTGATGGAACAAGTTGTACCAATGGACCAGTCCTTTGTGGATTATGCAGGAATATTTCACTTCCGGGTAACAAAGGATTAATAAATGTGTCTAAAGAATACTTTTACAAAACAGAAACACAACACACTGGTTATTAATCCTTATTAAGCTGTTTTCTCTGTTTCAGTTCTGGTGGTTTGGAAAGTGGGTAGATGTTGTCATTGATGACAATCTGCCAACGAAAAACAAGCGGTTACTGTTTGCGTCCTCGAAATGTGGAAATGAGTTCTGGGCTCCTCTGCTGGAGAAGGCATATGCCAAGTACAGAACCACGTCACACACTTTCACGTAAATCAGTTCAGAAGGTTCAGAAAAGATTTACAAATATTTTTCTTTCTCTGTGTGTCTCCTTCAGACTTTGTGGTTCATATGCAAACCTGCGTGGTTGGTCATCATCAGATGCCTTCAAAGATTTCACTGGAGGTGTGAACCAGATTTACTATCCCACAGAGCCCAACGCACCGAGTTGCGATGAGCTTTGGCTGACACTAAGCAGAGCCACTAAGTGCAAATCACTGATTTGCTCTTCGACTAAAAAGGTGAGAAATAAATTTCTAGAGAAACAATAAAACAAAACAACAATAATTAAAATCAAAACAAAAGAACCCTCAATACATAATTTATCTTGCGTGTCTTTTCCAGGATGCAATGGCCAACAATGGATTGGTGATGAGTCATGCCTATTCTGTCACAGGCATCACTGAGGTAAATTCTTGAGTTTCAAAAGTATATTCCATCTAGGAAAGGGGCTTTTGGTACGAGGTTAATTGCAGCAAAATTGTAACAGTGTCAATTAAAGAATACTTGGTGATAATGATAAAGAAGAATTTCGTTTAAAAAAAAAAAACTTTATTATTTCATCTGAAGGTGGAATTAAACGCCTCTAAAGTACGACTGGTGCGAGTCATGAACCCATGGGGCAGACGGGAGTGGAACGGAAAATGGAGCGACAAGTACTTGACTTAATCAAACAACAAACAATGTCCATATACCACTGACAATGACACAATTTTTACTAGTGTTGCACCTACACATAATCAACTCATTATTATTATTATTATTTAATTAAAAGCTGTTTTTTTACAAAACCACAGCACTTGAATTTCTAAACATGAGATAAACAGTATAGTTGGAACAACATCAGTGGTCAATCAAAAAAAGAGTGAGAGAGAGAGAAAACACATATGCGTGCTGTGCAAAATGAAAATGGCCAGACATCCACAGAGAACAATAGTGGTGGATGACCACAGGATGCTTTCTGTTATAAAGAAGAACAACTTAAGAACTTCAAGACAAATGAAATTGTAAATTAGATATATCTGTTTTGCTGCATTAAAGTCTGTCATTAACTTATTTGTTTTGTGTTCTCAGGTCAGATTTGTGGGACAAAGTAAGTCCAGAAGTTAAAAAAAAGTGTTTCGACCGTGACGACGGAGAGTTCTGGTAAATTCTAAATTTTGCACACTGTTTACTCTCAATATTTTAAAAAAGCATTTTAAAAACTCAAAAACAAACAAAACAATCACACAATCATTTTGATGCATTACCAAAGAGTTTATGTCTTACTGCTTGATATTTAATGTTTATTTCCTATTTTATCTCTATCTGCTCATCTGGCTGTCAGGATGCAAATGGAGGACTTCTGTTCCTGTTTTGCTAAAGTATACATCTGCTGTGAGACCCCTAACTTTCTTGATGGAGACTTAAAATGTCAGTGGAATTGCATGATTTACGATGCCAGCTGGGTAGCAGGGACATCTGCAGGTGGCAATGTGAAACACTGTAAGACAAGTTCATTCCTTTCTAAACTTTAACTATCACTAAAGGAATATTTTGGTTTTTACATTTTTCATTTACCTGTACAAACACAAAACCCACCATAAATTTCTAAAACCTGTAACTAACAAATAAACTGTTTCCTCTCTGTAGCCACCTTTGCAACAAACCCTCAGTATCGCATTCGAGTGACTGTTATAGACAAGAAGGAGCCAGGAGACAAAAACATCGTGCTCTCCCTGATGCAGAAACCTCATCAGGGAAATCGCAAAGAGATACGCCTCCACAAAACTACACTTACCATCTATAAGGTATTCATTCTGAATCCGCTTCCTTTAATTTAAATAATTGTTAAATACTGCAACTGACTACCAAAGGACAAGAAACTAAATCTTTAAAACAATTGTATCACCCTGTTATTAAAACACAAGCGCTTTTCCTAATTGAGCAGCTGAGTTAGTAAGACAATAACAATAAAAAAATGCCTTCACTGATTTCACATTCATTAAAGTTACTATGGAAAATGGTTCCTGCGAAACAGTTTAATGATATTATTCTTACCATTTTCCAATTAACAGATTCCACCAGGGGTAAGTGCAAACAATAACAAATATATGAAACTTTGACTGTGCACCGAAAGTAAATTCAGCATTTTAATAACAATGTATACTTAGACTCAGAAGAGTATTTCACTAAAGTTCCTTCATATTTCTCCCAGACCCCACAAGGACGCCTGCAACAGGATTTCTTTCAGAGGAACAGGCCTGTGAAGGCAGAAAAGACTTACAGCACTCGGCGAGATCTCATTGAACTCCACAGTCTGGAACCTGGAGAGTATGTGATCATCCCATCCACCAATGAACCCAACATCACTGCAGATTTCACTCTCACTGTCTACACCAAGACTGATGAATAATATCATGTAAAGAATCCTTCACATAATGAAGGATTAATATGATTAACTCAGGATAATAAACTACATGAATTATTTACTTAACAAAAGACACCATAGGGTAATTTCCTATTTGTTAGCCAGACATCAGGTGTGTTATCTCTGCTGGCTGTGAAATATGGGCGGTGGGGTTCAAAATGGTCACATGAGTCATACTGTCTCATAAAATTTTTTATATGAGACCTATAATTTTTTGCTGGGCATTTCTATTTATTTCACAGCCTGCATAGGCAAAATGCAGCCATGTAGTGCATTTTCTGCACAGATAACATAAATGCTGATAAATAACATGACTTTATCCTAAAAGAAATAATAGGCTAAATGATTAAAATGTACAATGCTAATGCTACTGATAGTTGGCCAGGTTCATCAATTTCTATAAAACAGAATAATGATTATGTAAAAGAATAAGTTCTGTGGACACTGGGAGTTTAGTTTGAAGAAGTGATGTGGTGATGCAGTGGATAAGGTTCCTGGTTTAATGTCCTGATCTTCTGTGTGGACTTCGAGTGTTCTCCCCTTTTGAGGACAGATTCCCACATTCCAAAGACACGGATCTTCACTGGTGACTCTAAACTGGCTTTCACAAAGAATAAGAAAATAAAACAGCTCTGACTCTGTCTATTCTCATTTTCCCCTCTACTTTCAATAGAGAATATTATTTGCAACATTAAGAAATCCTCACTATAAACCGTTACACACACTGTGCTGCCATAAGGAAAATATTTATAAGGTATAAAAAGAAAAGCTGGAAAATTACACAAGCTTGTGTAGTTTATTAGTTTAGCTTAGTATGTAACCCCAGATAATAGTATGTTTTGATGGCCAATTAGCAGCATTCTATAAAGGGCTGCCAGTCAGAGGTGGGTAGTAACGAGTTACATTTACTCCGTTACATTTACTTGAGTAAGTTTTTGGAAAAAAAAAGTACTTTGAAAGTACCTTTTTTGCACGATACTTTTTACTTTTACTTGAGTACATTTGTGAAGAAGAAACGGTACTTTTACTCCGCTATATTTGCAAAATTTAACTCGTTACTTTTTTAAAAAATAATTAGTTTAACACATTAAATAACATGCCACCAGTGGAGTTTCCGGTAACTTTTTTACCAATCAGATGTGGCCATGCAGTCACATGACCAATTTGAAACACAAACACATCCTCCAACCACACACACCCTTATTTTGCTCCGTTGAGGTTTATTTCACACCTCAAACATTTAGTAAACAATTAAAAATGACAGGTAGTAATAAAATAAACTACTAACTCTTTTACACTATGTCCACACCTACACGGGTATTTTTGAAAACGCAGCTGTTTCGTCCACACGTAAACAGCGTTTTGAATCACCGAAAACGGAGATTTTTTAAAACTCCTTTTTTGCGTTTATGTGTGGACGAAGAATACAGAGTTTGTCACACAACGTCAAAGGTATGTACCTTTTTTTCACGTCACACTGTGCGCCACGTTATTGTTTACATGAGATGAATTGCAGAATGCCGGATAGAGACAAAATACTGTTAATCTGACTATCTTCAGTTTTTACAGGCTTACATACACACGCAGTTACTGTCCCTCCATTTACAAAGGCAGAGGCATCACGTTGTGAATATTTTATGTGTAGTTGTTTTTTTGCCTGTGTAATAATATTCAACATTGCTATCAATACATTTGTCAAAAAATGCCTCTCTGTGCAAAAGGGGTTCAAAAACATAAACAACTGTGGGATACAGTTTGTCTGTGATTTGAACCAGGGGAACAAATCACGGCAGGATCAGCCTGATATTATTTGTATCCCGCTGTAACTTTACTGTGTAAAGAGCAAACATCTCCAACATGTCAGGAGTAGTTAGTCATTACAACAAGTGTTTGTGAACTAAAAATCAAGAATGTGGGATACTGTTTGTCCGGGATTTGAACAGCCCAGCGCGTGCTCCCGACGCAGGGAAAACCAATTCTGCTGACGAGACCTACCTTGGCACTTGTGCAGGTGAAGCCAAAGGGAAGACATGCTTCATCATATTTTATAGTCTTTGGCTTAGAATGAAGTTGGTTGGAAACATACTCAGCGATGCTTCATCTCCTGCTTTGCGTTTCTGTGGCCGCTTGTGCTAGCAGTGTCCAAGCGTTTTGGTTTTTTCCCCCCTTTTCATGCCTCCCCTGCAATGGCTCTGCGCCCCCCCCCCCACACACACACACACACACACACACACACACTTTGGGAAGGTCTGAGCTAGCCCAACTGCAGTAACCCTACAAACTGCTGTTTAGTTTTCTGCCTAAATTTATGTCAGAAGTGATACCAGAGCTGTACGTTTTAATCTTTTCAGAAATCTCTCAGTCAGAACATGTTATATTATCTTTAGATGGAAACGAGCGAGCTAATGCCCTGCTACCTTCTAATTCTGTTATACTTCATAAATCCTGTTTTCATGGATGCCTGGATTTTAAACTTAATTGTTACACCGGGTAGAGCAGCCACAATGCTCATTTTATTAAAGATCAAAGAATTTAGACAGTTTTTTAATGTGATCTTTTTTGTCCATTTCCTTTCATAATTTTCATAATACAAAATGTTATCATTATTCAAGTTACCAGCAATGGCTAGCAAAAGTTCCATTCATAAACTATTAGGGTGCCATGGTCAGATAGGTATACCTGCTAATTAGTGCTTAGTAACTTTATAACATACTAGAACTAGGTTTTAGAGCCAGTTTAAGGGGTGCAGTTTGGGGGGGGGGGTTTTCAGAGGGGGGATTACTTGGGGAATCCCCAAGTATTTAGACCAAAAAATGTAAACCATTTTCTTTATTTTTCCTTTTTTGTTTAATATTGTTGTGACACAAATGAGCAAACTGATTATTTGACAGTTAACCTTCCTACATTCTATTACTAAGAGGTTGGATGAAGTTAGGATCAGTCAATCAGTGATCTAACTTCCTCAACAGTGATCAATATCTGTGTTTGAGCAAATTATACATTAAAAAAATGCCCATGTTAAGTAAAACATATTGTGAAATAGGCATAATAGTGACTCAGCAGCATTAATGGTGAAAGCAAATAAATATGTTTAACTGTCAATTCTCTATATCTCCAACTTTCCTTTGCAATGATTATATAGCAATAAAAAATGATACCCTCTGAATTCTCTTTTGTACTTATTTCAGTATGTAATTAAGACTGACCAGGAGCAGTAGAAACTGTGAATCAGACCTTATTTTATTAGTCCATCACTGAATACACCAGAAAAATAAAAAGTGAATGAACACATCACCAGTTCAGAAGTCAAATCTGCAGTTTAGCAGCTGAGATAAAACGTACGATTTACACTCATTCATTTAGGACAGGATACAAGAGGCTCTCTAGAAAAAACCCCTCATATTCAACATTTTTATTTTTACAAAGATAAAACACAAATCTGCATTTCTTTGCCAGGGACTGTGAAATATTTGCACACTTTCAGTCTGTTCATTGTATGGTGGTTACAGGAAAAGGTTGGTAATGTACTATAATCATATTAATGTTCCATGAAAAGACTATAACCAACAATAAACTTACCCTACTAACAAGTACTGTCATCTTACTCAGTTTGAGCTTTACTGCTGTTCAGAAACATTATGAAGATCAAAAATCCACATTGCTGCAGTGGGAGGATGGTCTTTAAAATGAACACAAACATTGCAGTTCATCCTGTTCTATTCTTAAAGCCCCACTAGTCCACCATGTATGCATTAATCCACAGTGAAAAATAGTCCTTAAAAATACATTTTCACAATTTCCTCCAGTTTGAGGATTTTCCCCCTAAACATTTAAATAAGTCTCTTACATACAGCTTCATGTTAAGATGTTAAAATGTTTATTTTTCAGTAGGAACCACCCTACAGGTTCAGTTAGCACTAACTGTTTAAAGAAAAAAAAAAATCATTTGCTTTTTTAAGGGATGTCTTTTAAACAAAATATAAATATTCTCAAAACACAGAGTGCAGTTTGGAGATGTTTTCTGTGTGTGCTCTCAGTCCTCCTCTTTCTCGATATAGCTTTTAGATGCAGAGCGGGCCATCTGCCTGGCCATGTACCTCTCTCTTGCCGAACTCACAGTCTGATCTGTGCTGCGCTTTGCAAACTTGTTTGTCTTCTCTTCCGCTTCCTCTTTCTCCTCGCCTTGATTTTTCTGCTCATCTTTGTTCTCTATTGTGCATTCAACTTCTTCCTTCCTTTCAAGTTCATTTTCTTCCTTGTTCATGCCCTTCTCCTTCTCTGGTTCCTTCCGTAGTGCGTGCTCTTCCTCCAGATGTCTGTCTTTCCTCTTGTCTTCATCCGGTTTCCTTCTCTTTTCCCTCTCCCCATTCTTATCCCGTTCTCTTTCTCTGGAGCTCCTCTCCCTCTTTCCATGCCTGTCGTCCCTTTCGGTATCACCTCTGCCTCCTCTACCTCTGTCGTCTTCTCTACCTCGGTCTCTGTCTCTCCTTCTATCTCTGTCGCTTCTTCTTTCTCCATGCCTGTCATCTCTTTCCCTTCCCCTGTTTCTGTCTCTTTCTCGCTCTCTCTCTCTATTCCTTGCTCTGTCTTGGTCTCTGTGGCTCTTTTTATGTCTGTCTCGCTCCTTCTCCTTTTCCCTCTCCTTTTCGTCACCGCTCCCTGATGAAGGTGACCTCTGCCTGTACTGGCGTTTTGAGTGTGCAGAGCCGCCCCCAGGCTTGCTAAACCCAGATTTCTGCTCATGTGCCTCCTCGATGTCACTGCTTGAACTTGGGATATTTTCATTGGATGGAGGCGAGGAAGCAGGTGAAGTCTTTTCTGTGTCTTTTGAATCCTTTGAAGTTTGAGGTCTGTAAAAGAAACAGTGATATAATAAAGACTCCGAAAAAAACAAAACAAAACATGCACATGTTCATCGGTGAGCAAGTAATGAGAAGCTATGACTGACTTGTTCGCAGAGCGATCTGGTATTGCCTCCTCTCCTACAGTCTGATTCAACAGGTGCCGATAAAAGCCACTCAGGTCTTTTTGTTTCTTCACATCCAAAGCAGCTAAGTAAACACAAATTTTAACAAATCACACATACTTTGTATTTAAAATATCCAAAATGCTCAAAGATTACAAAAAGTTGCATCAGTCATTCACAGACATTAATAACAACTGCTAAGTATCACTCCAACCTTCCATCTCTGCCTCTCTCTTCTCTCTCTCCTCCTCCTCCTTCTGTTCCTGCAGTTTTTGCCTATAGGCGGATGTAACATAAGCCTCTTTATCTGCAAACTTCTCTCCCTCTGCTTCTCTTTCCTTCTGAATCTTCCTCTCCTCCCTTCGTTCTTGCTCTTTCTTTCGGTCCTCTACTGCTTTCATTAACTGGTGGATATATTTTGGCTGTAACAAAGAGAGACAGACAAATTTTCATCTCATATATTACGTCAAATGGACATCAGAAAACAACTTGAACCGAACAGCAGCACTGAGGTTTTGTTACTACTCCAGCTGCTTAGTTTTCAAGCACAGCTTTATAAGCATTCAGCATAAATTAATTTACCTTTTTGTCTGTGCCTCCCAGGATTTTTTTGCTGGTCTCTAGTCTCTGTTTTTGAATGTCATCGTACACAGCATCGTAGTCATATACAGTACTGT